TTTCAGAGATGGGGAAACTGAGGCCCACAAAAGATGAGGTACTTGTCCAAGCTCACACAGATAATGAATGGGTGAGGAGCAGTTCTGGGCTCTGAACCTGGGTCTCCTTAATCCAAATCTCCACTAGACTCAGCTGCCTCTTTTTTTTTTCCCCCTTGAGTAACTCAGTTTACCAAATGTAAACATTCACAGAGATGCTGTGCAGGATGCCCCTAGGTCAAGGTCTGAATTTGAACTCTGCCATACTATCCAAGGGAGGGGAAAAAATAGAATGGACGGTCAAGCCTCAGGAACGTGAACAGTTACATTCGTAACTGTTCTGCCCACCAGATGAGATCCAAGTCCAATGAGGTTAGTAGGAGAATGGGCTGATGAACAGCAGGAGAGAAGTGTGCCAGGCTGTCTGGGCCCCATACTAGCCCCTTCCCTGGGGGTAGCAAAGGAGGGGAGATGGAGAGGAGAGCCACATGGCCCTTGTTCAGGTACTCAGGCAGAACAGTAAGCTGGGTGCTAGAAGAGACATAAAATTGTGATGAGACATGTTTCCTCCCCTTAGAGAACTTCGATTCTAGTAGGGCAAAAACCACAGGTAACCATAATACACAATATTACACGTCAGTGTGCCAGAGGGGTTTGGAGTACTCTATTAAATATATATGTATATTAACACGGTACACTGCATTCTAGGCACAAGACTGCCAGAAATGACTTCTTATTGATTTGTCATTATTTTAATCTCAAGTACTGATAGAGAGAGCGAAGTAGGTGTGTCTAAACTAATGAGCCCCTCATGCCCTCAAACAGGTACCTACCATGTTACCAAGTAACATCTGTAAGATTACTGAACAAGACAAGTTTCATAACAGGATAAAACATAATTAGGTAATTTAGAGTTAATATTTTACTTCCTCTAACAGAATAACAGACATTTAATATTTTGAGAATGCCCCTGGAGAACCATCCTTCTAAAACCACTATATCCCTCTTTGACCACTCCCCTCCTGGGTAGTGCCCTCCTGGTGCATGAGAGCGCTGAGTCTAAAGTCAGGAAGACCCGAGTTCAAATCCAGCCTCAGTCACTTACCAGCTAGGCGACCCTGGGCAAATCACTTGACCCTGTCTGCCTCATCTGTAAAATGAGCTGGAGAAGGAAATGTTGAACTCCTCCAGTATCTTTGCCAAGAAAACTCCAAATGGGTCATGAAGAGTCAGACATGACTGAAAGACCGAATGACAGCTTCTGTGTAACTATACCCCTCATGTCTCTAGAGATATCCCTGGAAGGCAATGGGGTAGCTTTCTCTTCTGTCATTGGCTTGAGCCCCCACTGGTATTCTCTCCAAAAATGATCAGCTGACAATCAGTCAGCCAGCCTTATGGAGCTTTCAGGAAAGGGATATTTACTAAGGCAGTAGAAGAACAGTAAATTCTAAACATGTCCCCAAAGGTCTGTGACACAATTTCCCCCAGGACATAAAGAGTCAAAGGGAAAGTGGGCCGAAACTTAAAATGTACAAATGTGCAAAAAGGTGATTCAGTTCCTGGTTGCTAGAAGTTCTTTTCCCCCATCCATAGAATGTCCCCTTAACCATGGTGTAGCCTCTTTGCTTGGCTCCTCATAGAACCGTGAGTCCAGGATGTTCTTGGCTCCAGAAGATGCAGATGTGGCTACCAGCTAATCTGGGATGCTGTTAGGCTACTAATGAGAAGATGGGATGACCAATATCCTCTGAAGTCTTGAAGCCAAAGTCCCACCCCTGTCAAAAAGGGCAGGGAAAAACATCTGGCCTCAGCCTAGGCCTCTCCTAGGCACTTCCTTCTCTGCTTAGAACACCATGCTCACTCCAATTTCTGGGATTCCATCCCTTCTCAACTCACTTGATAATTTATAGATGATCCCTGGGCCTATCTGAACAAGATTCTTGTGCAAAGTCATACTAGTACAGAGGTTCCCAAACTTATTAGGCCTACTGCCCCCTTTCAAAAAAAACTTACTCCAACTCCCCCGCCCCGGAAAATCTACTTTCTTTCACCCTTTAATGGTTTTTTAAAAATTTTGCATCACTTCAAAAAATATAAAATATTTTTTAAAAATAACATCTTAAATTTTAATAATTTATTGTAAATTTGTAGGGGTTTCCTGCATTGAAATTTTGATGATGCAATATTGCATCATGTAATCATACAGTATTGTATTGTAAACAAGTCATTACACACACATATTCCTGCTGATGCATGCTGCACTTTCCCACAATGTAAGACATGCTCGCCTGCCAACACTTGCTTGTTAAGACCTGTTGGTGCACTTGATCACTGATCCGTTATAACTTGCATTTTGTGTGTTTATTTGGAAAATAATGTAATCACTACAACTTTAACTGTTACACAACAGATGAAATATGTATAAACAGTTTTTCAAAATGTTCTTCTCTTCTTTCCTTATGCTTCCATCACCCCCTTATTGTTATTCAACACTCCCCAACTGTACCCGAGGCTACTATTGCGCCCCCCCCCATCATTCCAGTGCCTTTGGGTATGGCCTTTTAACTGAGTCCAAGTTTTATAGAACAAATCCTTTTTTTTTTTTTGGCTAGGCAATGGGGTTAAGTGACTTGCCCAGGATCACACAGCTAGTAAGTGTTATGTGTCTGAGGCCGGATTTGAACTCAGGTCCTCCTGAATCCAGGACCAGTGCTCTATCCACTGCGCCACCTAGTTGCCCCAACAAATTCTTGTATTAAGGGGATTTGTTCTGTGAAGTTTGGATTCAGTCGGGCCACACTTGAGGACCTAGAGGGCCACATATGGCCTCAAAGATGCAGCTTCCCCACTCCTGGTCTAGTTATTGACTTCATGTAACTCTAAGGGAGGCATGGGAATAATAGAGGACAGGCAATGAGATATAGTGGAAAAAACATTAGATTCAGAGTAAAAAGACCTGGATTCAAATCCTGGTTCTATCACTTCCTACCTCTATGAAGTCTGAAGCATTGAAAGAAATCCTTTTCAGCTGGTGTTTAACTAGCAATGCCCTGCTCCCCTCTCTGCAAAGCAGCTCCCAGATTGGAAGGAATCTTCCCTGAAGTCAAGAAGGAAGTGACCAGGGAAGGTGGAGGCCTAGGTTCCCCAGACTGATCCACCAGGATTCGAATCCAACGTAATAGCCCCAACGTCACAGAAATGTCGTCAAGATACAACTACATATTATATAAGTACATTTTTAATTTGTACAGCAATAAATGGAGATATATATGTGTGTGTGTGTATGTGTGTGTGTGTGTGTGTGTGTGCATGTGGACACATGTAAATGTTATGTGAATGGAAGAAACTATTTTGATACTACCACATTGCCTGTCTTTTGGCCAGAGGAACCACAGTCTCCTTAGGAGAAATGTCAGACTTCTTCAATGAGAACGACTCAAGGTCTTTAAGCCAGAAGCTGAGCATTAGAAAGATGGAGCTGGCAGCTCATGAAAGGAAGAGCGTAGCTCGGCTGGCTGATCAGAGGGTCAAGCAGATGGAAGCACCGGAGTATGTGGGCAGATTTTCAAAATGAGGGTCTGCCCTGACCGGACAGATTGGTAAATAAGGAAGCAGGCCAGCCAACAGCTGGTTTTCTTGCCCTGGGGAAAAAAGCCCCTGGAGTTCCCCAGAAGCAACATGGAAAGCTGGCTGACCAGAGACCTAGCTGGCTGGAGGAGTCCCTTGAAAGACCTGCTAGATCTTCGTGCTGAATGTCTCACTGAAAAAACGACCTCCGATTTATCAGTGTGAGTAGCACTTCAATGATTTCTTAAGAGGATAGATCCGGACCTAGAAGGTGCCTCGGAGGTGTTCTAGCTGGACACCCCTCAAATTACTGTCCTGGAAACCGAAACCCCGAGAATTTAAGTGATCGGCAGGTCACACTTCGAGGTGAGTGGCAGAGACCGAATTCAAACACTGACTCTCATTCTAGCGAACTGCTTGAAGCAAATAGAGCGTGCCCCAAAAGTTTTGTTGCAGTTTTTTATGACTTTTGGAAGGGAACAAGCAACTTATTTAACACCTACTGTGCCCAGGCATTGTAAAGTGAAGAACTTTACATATTTTATCTCATTTGACGCTCACAAAAACCCCAGGAAGTAGGTAGCCATTATCATCTCCACTTTTTACAGTTGGGGAAACTGAGGCAGACTACGGTGAAGTGACTTGCCCAAGGTCACCCAGCTACCTTGTCGGAGCCAGGGTTTTTTGGTTTTTTTTTTAGGCAATTGGGGTTAAGTGACTTGCCCAGGGTCACACTGCTAGTAAGTGTCAAGCATTTGGTCTGAGGCCGATTTGAACTCAGGTCCTCCTGGTGCTCTATCCATTGCGCCACCTAACTGCCCCCCCCGGGACAGCATTTGAACCCACGTCTTCCTGAGTCCAAGCCAAGTACTCCATGCGCCGCCGAAGCACGCTGTTTCTTACTTGTTATGCATCTCGTGGTTACTTATCTGCTTCCACGCGGTGCGCCCAGAACGGATGCGCTTGGAGGCCAAGGGCTGTTTCACTGTGGTCTCCACAATCCCAGAGCCTGGTACGATGCATGAATCTGAGCCGGTCTCCGCGGGAGAGGAGGGACGCGATCCTCGGCGGGAACACCCGAACTAACTCGCAGAGCACCTGCACACGTGCGCCGCCCAGTACTAGCTGTGGCCCGCTAACCTTTTCCCCACTACCCCGGGGCGGCTGGACTAGTAGCCCCGCCTGCGGCGCGGAGATTGGTTAACGGCCTGCTGCCCGTCTGCACTTCTCCCACCAATGACTGCCTTCTTCCCCTGTGCCCGCCCCCGCAAGCTAAGAGCTGCCTCCTCGAGCCCCACCTCGACACCCCACCCCGCGGATGCGCTTTTCTCATTGGTGCATAGGTGGCTTCGGCTGGAAGAGCCAGCAAATGGGAACGCCAGGCGGCGCGGCCCATCCCCCTCCCATCCCCCTTCTTCCACCACCGCCCCCGGCGCAGGGTGCGTGAGGCGGGGCTGGGCTGGGCTGGATGGCTGTGGCGGCGCGTCCCGGCCAGTGAGGCGGAGGGAGCGTCGGGCGACCTGAGGTGGGTGACAGGCTCAGGAGAGCCGAGGGGGCGGCGGGAGCAGAGGCTGCGGGGTGAGTGTGAGGTACCGAGACGGGCCAGGGCCTTAGGCGGGAGGTGGGAGCCGCGGCGTCTCCTCTCCCCTCCGCCCTCGAGGCAGGTGGCGCGCGGCGCGTCCTGCCTGACAGCGGCGCGCGCTCCTCCTCGGCGCGCTCCCGCGACGCCCCCCTTCCCCCTTCTCTTCCCTGGAGCCAGCCCGGGGGCCGGCCTGTCAGTCCCCCGAGCCCTCAGAGTGCACTGACCCCTCCCCCCGCCCCACCCCCAATAATTAAGTACAAACAGATGTCTCCGTTCTCCGCCCCCTAACGTAGGTCTCTCGCCCCTCATGCTTCCCCCATCCAGATGTTGTCTCTTCACCACCTCCTCCCCCTCAAATCCAGGTCTTTCCCCTCGCTCCGCCCCCTGATATCCCCATCTGTGGCCACATTCTCCCCTCTCGCCCCCCAAATAATGTGACTCTGCTGTCTTAGCCCCACTTTTCCCTCCCTCCTCAACTTATCTTTTGTCCCCCACATTGCTCCCAAATAGCCATATTTGTTACCCCTCGTTGTTTCCCCATTCCCCACCCCAGACTCCTAGATTTGTTGCCTCTCCCTGCCCTCAAACGTCTCTAGACGTATTGGGAAAGGAAAGAAGCATCTATTTAGCGCCTGTTATATGCCTGGCACTGCGCTAAGCAAGCAAGTACCTCCCCTTGCACCCTTAGACGCCCCCCCCACCCTCATTCAGTAGAAGAGATTGGACAAAACTGCTAATGGCCACTGATAAAATCCTAAGGTGGGGGGGCAGGGAGAAAAACTGCAAATGATTGCAGGGAAACAGGGGGTGGCAGGGGTGGGGGAAGAGGTCATTTTATTGCTGCTGACCGCTGTCAGTGCTGACAGGATTTGAATTTTGAATGTGGCTGGACTTTGTCCTTGTGACTCTCTAGGATAGATAGGTGAGGGAGACTTGTATCCCCCACCTTGGTTTTTCAACTTTGCTTAACCACTTTCCTGTTACAAACTTTGGGTTTGTGGCCCTTGGACCACAGAAAGCCAGTTGTGTTTCTCTAGCTAGAGGTGTTGGTTTTTTTTTCCTTGACTTTTTTTTTCCTCTTCCATACTACCTTTAACCTACACGTACATATTATTTAGGGCTCAGAACCATTTACTGCAATACTTTTTTTTTTTTTTAAAGTAAGAAGTGATTTCGTTTCGTTTCCTATAAGGTGAAAGAAAACCATTTTAACCTTTCTTTGTCCCTTACTGGCAAATGGTGTGGTGTAAGGTTATTCCTTTAGATCATGTCACTGGCTTTTCTGTCCAGCTGTACATCAGGTTACCTTGAAATGTTTTTCCCCCCACACTTTTGACCTATCCTTCAAATTTATTGAAGAATCCAGTTATTGAACATCAGCTCTTTCTCCTGCTCTGTCATGTTTGCTTGAGCTATACTTGTGAAGATTTGACTGAAGAACTTTTGCTGAGTTCTTTTAACTTGAGCGCCCTAAAGAAAGGCCCTTAAGTTTCCCGCTTTTTTTTTTTGTACAATTTGAGTTGTACTGTTTTCCCTACCTACTTCATAGAGTTATTCTGAGAACCAAAAGAGAAGTTTACAGACAGATATTTCTAAAAGTGCTACACCAGGGTGAGGTCTTAGAAGCAAATAATAACATTCAGAATTGTTAAGTAAATTGTGTTATTAAATGGCTAGTCTGCCTGAGGTTCATTTATTGTCCAGAGGCAAAGAAGGCCTGAGTTCAAATCCCAGTTCTTCTTTTTATTACCTGTATGACCTTGGCAAGTCATTTAATTTCTCTAGCTCTAAATCTGATTGGGTCATTGTGTGAGGTAGAGCTGAAAGAGACTTTACAGATCATCTAGCCTAAATACTTTGCTTTCTTTTCAGGAAACTGAGGCCCAGAGGAGGTGATTTGCTAAGTACACCTAATTAGTATATGGCAAAACTAAGATTTGAACTTATATCCTCTGGGATACCTAACTCCATTATTCCTTCCACAACACCTCAAGAGTAGTCTTCTTAAATCTTGTTCTTTTTTTTTTTCTAGTTTAATAAGGCAAGATTACCATACAGTATTTTTATTTTTTTTTCCTAAGGCAGCTAGGTGGCTTAGTGAATAAAACACTGGGTTTGAAGGCAGGAAGACCTCAGTTCAACTGCCCTTGGACACTTACTAGCTGTGTGACTCTGGGCAAGTCACTTAACCCTATTTGCCTCAGTTTCCTTATCTGTAAAATGATATGGAAAAGGAAATGGTAAATCTTTGCCAGGAAAGCCCCAAATGTGTCATGAAGAGTTGGCATGACTGAACGACATTATTTTTTTGCACAAGAACTGTGATATTATTGGGTAGGGAATTCATCAACTCCTCTGCAATCTTAAGAGTTTCCTGGGGCACTGAGAGGTTAAGTATTTTGCTCATGGTCACATCTAGTATGTTTTTTTAAACTTATCTTTTATTATTCTGAACTTAATAAACACCAAGTGAAATGGGACTCTCCATATACATAATGGCAGAAAAAGAGGGTTGTACAGGAAACTTTGGATCTCTATTATGCATAGTTTGTTTTTCTTTTAAAATACACAATAAATTCAGCATGAAACTTTCAAAGATTTCCTGTTTGTCTGTGATTCTTTCAGGTTTCTTCTGTTCTCTTCTGTGCATTAAAAAATCACCTAGTCTGTTACAGAGGCTGGACCTGAGCCAGTGTAGGGGAAAAGAGGAATTGTTGATGTGCAAACAACTCTCCAACTAACATTTTAACAATGTATATTTAGAAGGTAGAAACAAGGGTAGATAACAGAAAATGAATACAAAATCATGGCTTGGTACTATAGCATCAAGACAGCTTCAGTTTATAATGAGTGCTGGATGCTGAGGAAAGCTGAGACAAGAAGAATATTTTTTAAAGCTATATTAGGGAAAAGGAAAATCAGAGAAAGAATAAGGCCACTGCTAGGGTTGGATGGGAGGATGATAACTGATAATAGAAAGTAAGTAGAGCTACTGAGTTATTATTTTATTTCTGTTGACTTGCCTAAGAGAATAACCTTTGAACTGGAAAGAACAGAACAAAGGATGTCTAATAGGGAGTTGATGACTAACATAAATAAGGAGATAATGGTAAGAGAGCACCTCATTGTCCTTGATGAATTCAGGTCTCTTGTGCCAAATGAACTACATCCTCAGGTACTGAAAGAATTGGCTTCAGATACCCTGGCTTCCCAGTTCATCAACCTTTTCAACTTTACCTTTACCTTTATTCTACCTCACTCACATAACCCTGACACCTGATCTTATCAACTAAAAGTGCTCCACTTCCACGACTCAGAACTCTGACATTTGTCTTCTGACTGTGTCCTTCATTCCTTCAGTTTCTTTTTTTGCCTCACCCCTTCTGAACCTATTTTTTGCCCGCACACAGCCTCTAGTCATCCCATCTCCCTGCTTGACCAGCCTTGCTTTGGTTTTCCTTTCCTCTCTTTAACATCTTGGTGTTATAGATGACTAAACCTCAAACCTAAATTATTCCACTCCATAATCCACCTTTGCTTCTACTGACATGCTGCTGAATAATGTAGGAAGTCATCCAACCATGCTGAGTCCAGTACAAATTGATCTTGTCTCAACTGGTCCCTCACTGCTGCACATTACTCCTTTTGCCTTTCCATGATTTTTCCTTGTCATCTATTCTAAACTTCTTTTCTCAAGCCACGTGCCATACCCCTTCCACCCTTCACTCAGCAGAGGACCTTATTATACACTCTACCAAGAAAATTGAAGCCTTCTCTTATGAACTCCTCTAGTTCCCTGCCTAATATCCCCTTGGCATCATCCTCTGTTCTCTTCTGCTTTGCTCCAGTCTTGAAGGAAGGAAGTAGTCCTTTCTTCTGAGGCTAGTCCTGCTTGTTTCCTTGATCCTATCCTTTCTGGTTTCCTTTGGGAACTTGCTCCTTCAATCATCTGCTTTCTGCTTCTAATCTTCAGTCTTTCTTTATCCTGGCTTATTCTCTGCTTCCTACAAAATGTACCCAAGTCTCCTTTATCCTTAATAAACCTTCACTAGACTTTGTCATTCCCTCAAACCAAATTCCTAGAAAAAGCCAACTACATTCACTACTTCAGATCCTTTTATCTTACTTCTCAATCAGTCTCGCATGGAATGTTCTTATTGATTGAAACTGCTCTTTACAAGGTTACCAGTGATTTTTTTAATTGTTAAATCTTGTGACTTTTACTAGCTCACCTCCTTCTTCACATCTCTACAGCATTTGACACTGTCAAACAGTCCCTCCTAGATAATAACTCCTCCCTGGGTTTTTGTGACATTGCTGTCTCCTGGTTTTCTTTCCTTCAGTCTGATCATTCCTCCTCATTCTCCTTTCTGATCAATCCTCCTAAGTCTCTTTTACTGGATTTCTGTCTTTATCCTTCCCTCCATGGGTGTCCCCTAATACTCTGCCCAGTACCTCTTCCTCTCTCCATACTTTTGGTGATCTCATCAACCCCCAATAGTTCAATGATTATTTCTGTGGAGATGCTCCTCAATTCTACATATCTAGCTCTCATTTCTTTCCTGTCCTGAGTTGCAGTCCTAAATCTGCTGGATTTCTCTACTTCTAAGTCTCACAGACATCTCAAATTCAACATGTCCAAAATAGAACATACCTTTTCCCAAAGTGTCTCCCCCTCCCCTTTCCAAAATTCATTATTTCTATTAAGGGCAACATCATTCTTTCCAACGTTGAAATCATTAATCCTTGACTCTGTGCTCACTCTTCCCATTTATCTAGTAAATTGCAAAGTCTTCTAGATTCTAATCCCCAAACATCTCTCACATCCCTTCCAAATTGTTTGATTAATGCTCTTTCCTCACCAACATTCTTTTGTGTTTACTTACCTGTGTACATAAGCTTCTTGAGGGTTGAAGTGATTGGTTTATTTTTGCCTTGGAAGG